GTTTTTGAGATTTCAGAGGATATAGAAATCAAAAGTATGGCGATTAAAGTTGCTACCTTCCAGAGCTTTCTGACCCTCCCTCCTGCTGGTCTTAGGGTGGCGACCATGGATTTGTGCTCTGCTTTCCTATCTGAGAGAGGTCTGTCAGAGGCTACTGGTGTTTGCTCAGAAGAGGCTGAGAGGGAGCTGGGAAGGGGAGAGAGAGACTCCAGAGAGTCTGAGGGGTCTGGCTCAGGGAGGGGGCAGGTGTCCCAGGCACAGTACCTCAGCCTTTGGGAGTTGAGGTGATAGCAAGGGAGGTGATGGTGAGGGGTACCCAGAATATGGAGGAGGCCTTACTGGGGGCGTGGATAAGGAGTCAGGGCATCCGGAGAAAGACGGAAGGGGAGTACTGTCTGAGCCTGATTAAGAGAGTGTTTGGCTAATAGGGTGACAGGTAGGAGAGAGGGATGGGAGCAAAGAAAGCAAAAGACCTGAACATAAGGGACTTCTGATTATTTGTGATTTGTTGACAAAAATTGTTGAGGTTTCCGGGAACTTTAAAATCAAAAGTGCTATTTTCTGGCTAGCACGACTCATTGTCCAATTGGTATTGAGGCCAAACTTGGTTACAGAAAAAGACCAGGCATTTAGGGTGGAGATCAGGAGTCAAACCCAATTCAGTAAAGTTGGCAGTAGGCACCCCAAAGGACTGTCCTTAGGGGGTTGGGACAGAAAACTTGCCATTGTGTGTCAAACTGCAGGGGGTATGGACAGAGGAGAAGGGTGTCCCCTGGGATCCCCCTTCACACCCGTCAATCAGGAAGTGGCCTGGTAACCCTGAGAGGCGTCCTGGTCAGGGCTAGGGGCCCAATGGGAGAGTCCTGGACCCTCCGGAACAGAAAGGTTCCCTGGCGCAGGCCTGCGGCTTTAACTGGCAGACAGGGACCTCGGATCAGAGAGAGACACAATGGAAGCCGAGGAGGGGGAGGGATTCCTGGCATTATAGCCGGTAAAAATGGAGTTTAGTTAGGCCTTTGTTTCAGGATGAGAGTAAGGGGAAGCAGAACATTTTAGAGAAAGCACTGCAGAGCT